ATCTCAGTTCTAGTCCCCACTCAGCCATGGAGGTAACTGGGTGACTTTGGGCCAGTCACAGTCTCTCAGCCCAGCCTAGTTCACAAGGCTGCTGTTGTGTGGATATTTTCAAGACAGAGAGAATTATGTAAACATCCTTGAAAAGAAGAAAAGTGGGACATAAATATAATAAATAACTACCACAGGGAACTAGCTACAATGGATTATCATGTCATCTGAACCTAGACTTCTTCCTGCAGAGTGGCTTATTTTTCAGGAGCATTCATCCTACAATCCATGGCATATCCAAGGGTTTCTTGGAACCCTGGAGAGCAATGTTATCATGGAATATGGGGGACTGCTGGTAAACCTCTTGGCTAGAGCAGTAAACTCCCTGCTACACTTCACTGCAACCCTAACCTGGTGCCACCACCAATGCCCAAGCAGCTCTTATTTATTTATTTATTTATTTATTTATTTATTTATTTATTTATTTATTTATAAATAGCATTTTTATGCCACCCCCATCGCAACAAAGCCTCAGGACGGCTCACAGCAAAAACAAAATACATAAATATAACAATTAAACAGTAAAAATATCAAAACCCGGTGCAGCTCGGCTTAAAAGATTTAAAATCCTATAAATATGAATAAATTAACAATCAAAATGAGTTTTAAATAAAAAGGTCTTAGCCTGGCACTGAAAAACAAATAACGACGGTGCCAGGTGGACCTCTCTGGGGAGCGCATTCCATAGATGGGGTGCCACCGCAGAGAAGGCCCTCCTCCAGGTACTCACCCTCCTAATATCCTTCATGGAGGGTTCCCGGAGAAGGGCATCTGTAGCTGATCTCAAGGGGCAGGAGGGCATATATGGATGCAAGCGTTCCTTTAGATACCCAGGTCCCAAGCCGTTGAGGGCTTTATAGGTCATAACCAACACCTTGAATTGGGCCCAGACTTCAATCGGGAGCCAGTGAAGCTGACGGAGAACTGGGGTTATATGAGAACAATGCCCAGTCCCCATCAGCAGCCTGGCAGCTCTATTCTGCACCAGCTGAAGTATCCGGACCATCTTCAAGGGTAGCCCCACGTAGAGCACGTTACAGAAATCTAATTGGGAAGTTACCAATGCGTGTGTCACTGTCACCAGGCAGTCGTTCTCCAGGAAGGGACGCAGCTGATGTATCAGCCGAAGCTGAAGGAAGGCGCTCCTCGCCACTGCCGTCACCTGGGCTTCTTAAGACAGCTCAGGGTCGAGGAGCACTCCTAAGCTGCGAACCCTGTCCCTCAGAGGGAGTGCAACCCCATTTAGAACAAGGCCCAAGTCCCCCATCCCGCGGCCCGAACCACCCACCAACAGGACCTCCGTCTTGTCTGGATTTTGCTGGATTGACCCTCATCCAGCCCATTACCTCGACCAGGCACCGGTTCAGCACAGCCACTGCCTCACCTGGATTGGTAGAAAATGAGAGGTAGAGCTGGGTATCATCAGCGTACTGATGATTCCACAGCCCACACCTCCTGATGACCTCTCCCAGCGGTTTCATGTAGATGTTGAACAGCAAGGGGGACAAAATGGACCCCTGCGGAATTCCATGGTATAACTGCCATGGCGCAGAACCATAGTCCCCCAGCACCACCTTCTGAAATCGCCCATTGAGATAGGAGCGGAACCACTGCCACCAACTCCCAATCCTGCTAGCCTATCCAGAAGGATACCATGGTCAATGGTATCGAAAGCCGCTGAGAGGTCCAGGAGAACTAACAGGGACGCACTCCCCGTCTCTCTCCCTGCACAGGTCATCATACAGGGCGACCAAGGCAGATTCAGTGCTGTACCTGGGTCTGAAGCCGGACTGAAATGGGTCCAGATAATCAGTTTCATCCAAGAGTGCTTGGAGTTGTCCCGCCACCACCCGCTCTAGCACCTTGCCCAGGAACAGGATGTTGGCTGCCGGTCTATAATTGGCGGCCACCTCTGGATCCAGGGATGCCTTCTTTAGGGCTGGCCGGACTACCACCTCCTTTAAAGGGGCAGGTACCCGACCGTCTCTTAAAGAGGTGTTGACCACCTCCAGGATCCAGGACAGTTGGTGGGAAGAAAGAAATGCAAGCAGCTCAGGCCAAACAATAGTGATCTTCAAGCAAAACCTTCTTAGCAAGTGACTCTAGTCACTACACTCAAATCAGCTACTTTCCACTTCCTCATGGCCTGGGAATCCACCTGACTACCTCAGAATCTGCCAGATTACTTTGTAGCTACTGGTGCATGGACCTCTTAGGTGTGTTCTATCCCATCTTGCCTGTTTACCTAGAATGATTCCCTAGTTTTGCAACTGATTACCCTCTTTCATCATTGCCACCTTAACTCACCTTAACATGTCCAAGGTCAGATCCTGCAAAGGCCCAAACTTCACAATCCCTAACACTAACCAACTTAACAAAAACAACCCTGATTCAGAGAACTATTTCAGTGAGATTTTAGACTTTTATTCCACTCTGAACATGAGATCCTTCTAATGCCACATCACAAACTGCTTTGGAAATGCCTCTTAGCTTCAAAGACACTTTGTCATGTGGCATGTGGAAACTCCTTTGAGCACATGAAACTCGTTGTATGGTCTTTTAAATTTATCATAAACTACGTCCAGGATCCAGCCAGGAGGGAATGAGGTACGCTATATCAAAACCGCCTCTAAAAAAGGAATAAGCTTAAAGAGGCAAAAGAAACTTCTTTAACACTACAGAAGATGGAAATCACATTCAACAAACCTTAATAATGTTGCAGTACTGAAATGTCAAATACGTACATGGCAGTAGCGAAGAAATAGCTTTAGTGAAGTCCAGCAAAATGATCTCCACAGCTTGATGCACATAAAATATCACTTGTTTTGAATATTCACTCTTCTCACAAGATATAGTCTATTGAGTGACTATATCCAACGTATTTCAAGTTCAAGTCAGATGAAACATTTAAAATAAGTTCATGTCTTACCTGATTCTGCTGTGCTTTCATATAAGGCAGTGAGACAAAATGGATGATCTATTTTTCAAAGTGTCATATGTGAAAAAATTACTGAAAACAATATTTGATAGGTATTGCTACCTCTGAATTTGGGAAGGTGAAAATCCTCCAGCCCATGAGAACTGGTGCATGTTTCATTTGTGGTTTGTCACCATGTTTGTAGAGTACCTTCTATAACAGCAATTAATTCATACTGATATAATTAATTTAAATCTTGCTCAATCTCCTGGCAGCAACAGGCTTTGTAAAAAAAAAAAAAAAAAGTCATCTTGTACTACAAATGAATGTAGGCTTGACCTGTTTGCAGCTGTTTCTTTTTGAAATCTAACACACAGAAAGGAGCACGAGGAAAAAAAAATAGGATATTAAGCTACATAAACTGATCTCCCAACTGAATGGCTTGGAGGATTACTTGTCTGAATAATTTCCCTCTTACACTTGATAGAAGAGCAACATGCAGCTGCCAAAAAGTACAGGTTCAAAGTGTTTGCTCTTGGTATGCAGAATTCTCAACACTGCCTTTAATCTCACAGAGAAGAAGAGTGGGCTGCAGCCTTGAGAAAGAATTTTTATCATTAAAAATAATCTTTGCTGAAGAATAAAAATGGATAAGAGCCAAGGTCATGGTAACTCTTTGGCAACATCTTCTAACACCAAGAGATCTGTGACATACATGCAGATGGTGTTGCAAATGGGCCATTAGTCTACACCATCTCGTCTGGCTGTTCGAAATACTCCATCCCCTGCCAGCCTGGATGGACTGGGTTTGCAGGAAAGACACATCCAGCATCATGAATCTCATCAACTCCAATTGGTGCCCAGTTTTCCCTGGCATTGCAAGAGGCACCAAACAATGTGCATGATTTGTCTTTTCACAGCAGTGGGATAAGCTCAGACAGAATGCCAGGCAGGATGTTTGAAGACTGACACCAATTTCAGGTAAAAGGTCAGCAGTAACTAGCAGGCAAACCAAGCTTCCACAAAGTAGCAACAGTCTTTTTCTGCAGCGTCTGTCTTTGTACAAGCAATGAGAGGCACTCAGCCTGAAATGTTGGATGTAGCAAATTGGAAACTGACACCAATTCCAGATAAAAGGTCAGCAGTAACTAACAGTCCGATCAAGATTCTACTAGAAAAAGACGTGTGAACAAGACTCAGGAGTCTGGGGTATATTTTACACTGCACCATCCTTCCTCAGTTTGACACGAAAGAAACTCTAATCATACATCCCACATAAGATGAACGTATTAAGTAAATGCATATGTTTTATTTCTCAAAGGTTCTTTACAGGATACAGATTTTTATATAATTGGGAATATTCTGGCAAGGTGAAATAGGAAGAATAATGAAATGGATGGGGAGAAAAGGGACTGAGCTTAGGGCAAGCAAAGAAGATGGGCATGGGCTGACCCCCACTGACTGACTGCAAGAAGGTTGATGGGAAAAAAGTGGAAAAAATTACAAAGTGAAATCTGAGGTCCTTGGGGTGTATTCTTACACATGGTTAGATTCCAAAAAGGTCCCACAGTTCCCAGCATTCCCTAGCCAGTACCAGGAATGGTAAGACTTTTTCTCTCTTACTAGGCGTAGGATTTTACCCTTAAGGTATCAGTTTTAAATAAAATGCCACAGTCTACACTTACGACTTCAAAATAGGCTACCAACACTTTTAATTGCACTGCTCCTAAGAGGCCAGCCTGATATTTCAGGAAAAAATGAAACTAAACAAAGCAGGAGCAAAGTTTTTTGAGACCATGGAAATAAAACTGTGGGCAAATTTTGCCTGCATATTTCCTTAAGTTCTGCATATTTCAGTAATGCTATTCCTTACCCCTTTCCCTTCAGCCAAGTGGATCATTTTAGCAATACGTAGATGAATCAAAAATCAAAAGCGCAGGAAAAGGTACTCAAAATGATGGCAACCCTAAATGCCAATCAACAGACAAGGGGGGAATACAGACAGCTCCAGCCAGCAGCTGAGTTCTCCACTTACTCGGATGCGCTTCGCTCGCCGCATGTCATCAGCTGTCATCAGGCTCTGGGTAGCCACCACAGTTGGTTCGTGTGGCTGGAGCTGCAACGGGTGACTCTCAGGCTGCTGTTCCAATGCTGACGGAGCCTCTGGTGGCACTGGTGTCTGTTCCTGTTGGTCCAAGCCATTCAGTGTGGTTTGCCCAGTCTCATCAAACTGCCCCTTGCTGGAGAAATGCAGCAAGTCCTGAAATTGCAAATGAAAGGGGCAGAGGTTGAATGCTTCCAGTTTAGTGTCTCCATTTTCTCACTAAGATGTTCTAAAACTTCTTGTAATTTATTGGATTTTTTTTCTAAAAGTATACCACCCTGATTTTTTTGACTAAAGATGTACTTTAGAAATATTTTAACTAAATAAATAAAAAGTGCCCTGAATGTTGGATTAGATTGTTAAGATTTGGTTAAAAACTTGGTTCCTATTACCTGTATTGCTAGGGCCACTACTCAGAGTGCATAGGTACAACAATACAAGCTTGGATACTAAGGCCCACAGATAAGAATCTTCCTCATTCTGGGGAATCAGGTGATCCTAGAACATCTGTTACATCCTAGTAGGTGAAATAACTTCAAAGGTTGCTGTCCATGTTCAGCAAGGGCAACTTATTGATAAAAGAGTTTGACCTAGCCAGCAGTACTCTCCAGCTGTCCCCCCACTCCACCATTCCCTTTTGCAGATGTTGGGGACTCCAGATGTTAAGCAACTAGTATCTGGAATCAATTACACTTTTACATGATGTTACTTCTGTGTCAACTTTAGTTCTGGGGAAATAATCAGGAATGAAACCAAGCAGAGCTTTTCTCTGTTTTTGATGCAAAGTCTTTCATCTGCTCTCTTCCAAAGTACCTGAGTCTCTTCTACACTTTTTCCTCCATTTTCACTGGTTACTTCCAAGCTCATGAATTTTGGTGGGCGGCCTGGTCGCCTGCCTGGTCCAAATCTTCGTTTTCCTCGCCCACGACCTCTGCCCCTTGCTCTGAAAAACAAATAAGAGGGGGAAATCAGTATTCCTCTCAGACTTTTTGAACATTTGCCATCCTGAGACCTCAGTTAAGGACGGGGTAGAAATGCTTTTAATAACAAACCAATAAACACTCACCCAGTTCAGTCAATTTCACAAAGGCTTTAACCAGAGGTAGGGAGCACTGCCCCTCTAGACATTATTGAACAACAAATCTCATTGGTCCTAGACAGCACAGCCAGTGGCAAGAATGGGGGGAATTACATCCCAACATCAGGATGACCAGTTTCCCCATCCTTGTTCTAAGCGATAAAACCTGGCAATAGCTTGATGGCACAGAGCAGAGTTCTATCCCCTGTCAAAGAAAAATGTTCCTGTGCTGATAGAAAAATGGGGAAAGGTTGTATGAAGGGTTCGTCCAGTTACCAACAACAGCCACTCAAGTGCTTCTGAAAAGCCCACCATCAGGGCATGGCAGCAACAAATCCCTCCTCCATTATTTCTCCCTTGCATCCAATAGTCAAAGAGGTGCTGACTCTGCAAAATGGTCCACCTGATTGATACAACAGTCAACATGCCAGTGTAGATGTCCAAAATGGGCAATCGGCAACAATCCCTAAAATATCTCTGCTGTTTCTTACTGGCATGGATAATTTCTCACAAGAAGGCAAGTACATCTCTGCAGCAAATTCTTCAAATGCCAGCTGGAATCATGAGCTGTTTGACAGGAATGTTGTGGGGTGGCAGAGTGTGCATGGGTGGGGGGAATCCAGGATAAGCTGTGATGCAGGTAGGCAGTGATGCACCAATTTCTGAGCCCAAAATGGGCCTTGGGAAAAAGACACAAGCTTGAAAATGGGGTAATAAAATTACCTAAAACACTCAAATAACAGGGCTTCCCTCCAGAAGACGATTATGTGACCAGTTAACAACTCGGTTAACTGGGTCTGAGAGACCTGGGCTTCTAGATGTCAACCTGGCCTTGCAACGCTCTGGGATATAGAAATGCGCCTCGGCTAAATGGTATTTTCTACACAGCTGAGCCCTGGAGATTGTAACCTATCACATATAACAGAAATTAGTCTCTGAATGCTGTTCCTGAGAAAGCTCTCTCTCCTGCTCTCAAACGGGAGTCTTCAGGGGACAACAAAACTAAGTAAGTAGTGATATCTGAAAACCTCAGCTTCTACATGTGAGCAAATACCTGCTGAAGAAGTCCAGCTTTTCATCATGGGAATTGAGGTGCTGCTGGAGCTGTTCTGAGCTCATGAACCGCCGATTACACTCATAACATGGCCAGTTCTTTTCTTGCTCTCGAAGAACTGTATTAGACCAACAAATAATAAAATTTCAAACACCATGAAGCATTTCTGGTTTCTGCTAAACATAATTTACAGTTTTATAAGAATAACTGGGGTGACATACAGATTATCTTTTATCTGTCTCTACCATGAGTTGGATTCAGAACAATGAAGAGCAAGATAACCAGGAAGGGTAACAAGATGCACAAAGAATTATCAACTATCTACTTTGCCTACTTTGATTTTGCCATCTAATAAAAGCTGCTCAGTAGATTGCCCACTGAGCCTTTGCAACTTAATTTCTGCTAAGTTTACAATGTTTATTTTGCATAAACACACTCAGTTTGTTCCTTTTATCTTCAATCCAATATTTCATATTTTGCACAGCACAGACTTTTTGGTTAGGAGAGGACACTGAATAAATGTACAGATAATTGAGACACAATAGAAGTGGTATGGTAGGACATTTTCCTGAAAGCTAAGAGGGGAAACAAGAAAATTGTTCAATTTTGGGAAAACATTCGTAACAACTTCTGCTATTTGGGTGATATATGGAGTGTACCCACTAAATGATGCTGGCACAAATTGCTAGAAATACTGGTAATTGCATGGAAATGTATATATTGCATTACTCCCTGCACATTTTTAATCATGTTTCAGTCATGAGGATTAGACAGTTGCATTTTTGTTTAAATTATAAAGACACTCTCAGGAAGAGGAATTCTGTTGATTACAGAAAAAGAACAGCTTAATCTATAGATCAGACTGGACTTCTCAGATTTCCTATCCATTAGCACCTTTCAATAAAGTGTCTAAAGCCTATATTTGTTTCGTTATTTGTTTTTTGGCGCCAGGCCAAGACCTTTTTATTTAAAAGTTATTTTAATTGTTAATTTATGAATTGTATATATTGGGTTTTTAAGTACATGCTGAGATGTCTCCAGTTTTTTAACTCTAATTATATAACTGTTTATTTATGTTTATTTATTAAGGTTGTAAGCCGCCCCAAGGCTTTTTGCAAATGGGGCGGCATAAAAATGGTTTAAATAAATAAATATTTGTTTTAGCATTTTGTTGTTGTGAGGAATCAAGGTAATAGTGACTGTGCACCATCAATCATAATGATGAGAACTCAAAGGATGATGATTTTGGTACTTCTGTTGCAAGCCATGTTTGTTAACTGCAGCTATTATCAAGTGCATCCAGAAAGGCAGCCTCCACTAACATAAAGCATTTTGCATGGAAATAAAAAGCTTGACGGCACAACCTTAACACTGATCAAAGCATTATTGGAGCCTGGCTGTAAGTAGACATGTACAATTTTATTCCTATCGAGTATTGGAATATAACCTTATTTTAAACTCCCACTGGAAAAGTAAGAGGACGATACCTTTCCTCTCTTCCTCTGATACATCATGGATCTTCTGATTGACGAATTCTGCATATGAGGCAGCATACCACACCTGCATCAGATGTACACAGAATTAAAAAGAAATAATGTGAACAATACTGTGAGGTGGTTTATGCTAAGAGATACCGTCTGTTCCAGCATTGCTGAAAGGTATTCTTGTCTGAGCAGTGGTTCGGTTTTAAAGGCGGTTTCTTGAATACAACCAGAAGCATACTCCACACTCATGTTTCACTTGTGGATTTCCCATTGGCAGCTGACTGGGCACTGTGTGAACAGAAGGTTGGACTAGATGAACCCACAGTATAAGCCAGGGCAACTCTTGCCCTCCCTGCCTTTCCTTCTCCGTGCTCTTCTTTCCATGGGCGGGCAAAGACACTTTTATTACTTTTTTGTAAAAGCAGACCTTTGGCATGTAAGCAGGTCTGTGGGGCTGGTTGCAGTTTTTATTGCTGTTGTTGTGATTAAAACAATAATAAAATAAATACATTTAATCTACTTTGTAGTTAAGAATGCAAGCCATGTATGCAGCTTTCATTGTGGAAAGACAGGGTTCAATTCAAATCAATTACACATCAAATGAGGGCTTTAGACTCTGATTCATCCTGGCCATTTTGGGTGCTTGCAGGATTAGGATACAAGACTGTAAAGGAAGGGGAGACGGCAGGAAACAGGAAAAGTCCAGATGGCAACATTCATCTTTTGACTGTCCTCCAATTCTCAGGCTGCAAGCTTAACATAAAAAGTTATTCTCCCAACTGACCCTTCTAAGTTCCATTTGATTTGTTTTCAGAATGGAATAAAAATAACTTCACAGGGATTGGAATCACAAGCAGAAAAATATCATTGCACGCACAGGCCAGGTTGCAAACCTCACAAGTTCACTGATTGAAGTAAATGGTGGCTCGTTAGCTGAAAAAAGCTGTAGGAATGGGGAAAAGATGATCACATACATGGGCAGGCACAGCAGAAGTGCCACAAAGGAAAAGAGAAAGAATGAATTCAAAGTAAACCAATTTGCAGCACATTCTTTTAAGGCCTTTTATCCAGGATGCATGATATCCGTAGGACCCATTTACACAGACAGTGTAACACCAGACTTATTTTACCCTCCAATTTGCTTACATGTTCAAGGGGAATCAGTGGCTAGAGCGATCAGAGCATCAGCACAGACCCAAACAGAGCAAAAGCTCATGACTCATTTCTCCTTTCATTTCAGCAGAAGTGATCATGTTAAAAATAAGCTGCATTCTTATTTTTTTCCCAGTGGGCAGACTTCACAATTCCATAGTGGCCTGAAAATGAGTCAATTTACACAACAAACTGCATAACCAAGACACCTTGGAATTCCTCAGTTGTGAAGATCAGGTAGTTGTGTCAGAACAAGAACCATGGGGACAGTGACTGAATAAGTGCAGCCCAGACTATCATTCAGACGACCATTCCCTGGATTGCTGCAGATGTATCATATATTTTAAACAAAGCAGACCCTTTAAAATATCGATAATACTGTTAAATAAACAAGACCGATCATAAACTTGATGATCATATGGTTCTACCATGCATCTCCCACAACTGTGCCATTTCCAGAACATCTCTGCTCCCAATCCCTTTCTGATCAGCACAAACCATGAGTGAAACCATCAGCTTGATGTGCAAACAATGGCTCTAAGTAGGAATGTGCAAATCAGCAAAATCTGAGCTTGCCACAGTTCTCTGAGTTCCAATGCAAAGCTCTTTCAGACTCAAGTCTGTATCAGATTTCTTGTTTTGTTTTTCCTTCTTATATGAAAATCCATGTGTATTTTCACGAGCATCTTTGAAATGTATGTTTTCTTCTCCCATTGATTAAACATATTTGTATACAACTTTCAAAAGTATATGATATTTCATGCAAAATTTTCAAAAGTGCATGTTGTTGAACATAGTTTTTTGGTCTGCAAATCATATGGCTCAAAAATGCAAAGATTTTGAATGCAGACTGCGTCTGAGTACGTATTCTGTTCAGAAGGTATTAACTGAATAAATCTTGATCAAAAGCAAATTGAAACAAGTTTCTTATAACTTGTTTAAGTTTAGCTTGTTCTGGTACATAAAAAGCATACCAGAAGCTAAAAAGCCCACCAACCCCAAAATGCATGCTGTTAATTACCTGCCACACTGAATAAAATGGGGCCAGCTGATTAAAAAACCCCCTAAAGTTTAAATGTTCAGTCTACTCTTTAAAACTTGCAGCCTTACTTTATACAAACAAATACAGGAAATCAATGTAATCTCCTTAAAGGAAGGTCCCCTCAATAGATATACAATAAACTCTCAGCATCCCAAGCAGGCACATGGGCAGGCCAGCTGAAAGGTACAGTAAAATCAGAGATGGGTACTTGTAGTTTGTTGCCATGCATAGCCCATAAAGAAGCAGAACGTATTTCTAAAGATCAAAGGATAAAAAGGTTGCGGGACAGAAAACAGAGCCATGCTGATGGTGATGCTGCCGTGGTCTTAATGCCTCTGCTGCACTCAAAGCTCTTAATTGTGCTATCACCCCTTCTCACCAAAGCAAACTGATAAACTGATAAAGATACTTCCTACCAGGCTAGGAACCTTGACAAGGGGAATTCAGTGTGTTTTGCTTTTTGAAAAGGAGTTATACAATGAAGATTGCCTCTTACCTTGAGTTCCTGTTTGGGCTCCACATTTTTAATTGTAGTGTAATAAATATGATGGCCATATTGGTAGGCTACTAGGTTTTGTTCCAAGTGATTCTGGGCAGGGCGTACAAACATCATCCAGTTGCAAAGAGACTCGCTGGACAGCTCAAACCAGAGATCCTCCTTTAGGTCTCGATCTTTCCTGTCACCTTTGTCCAGGGACACCTAAAGTGCAATTAAATATATATGCACAAAGTTGATCAGGGTGACAAGCACACTGTTAACGATACTGCTAGTCCACTATTAAAGAATAAATATTTATCACCAATCTGGAACAAATGGAGAAGATAAAGCATGAGAGTGCTTTATGAAGCATTATAACCTGTGAACTGAGATGAGCCTAGATGCAGTGTCCTGCGGGGGTACATTAGTTTAAGGCATGTACTTCAATTGATAATGTGATTTATGTCACCCATAGAAAAACAGCAGCATTGTGTGACACCTTAAATACTAAAAGGAGCATTATCACAGAAGCGTCATTTGATGAGAGAGAGAACGTTTTAGGTGCTACAAGACGCATGGCTGTTTTTGCTGCAGTAGCCTAGCCTGATCACCCCCCTGACAATTATTTAAGACATATGCTCATTCCTTTTATACTTGTAAAACAGGGTTATTAAAAAATCCAGCTGGACCTACGTATACACAGACCCTTCCAAGGCTGCTCGAACACACGGGAAATGCATGGCAGTTCTTACGGAAGCTCTATAGCCAGTTCTCTCTACTGCTAGAGACAGGTATCTATACCCATCTTTGTGGCCTACCTTCTACATTTCATGAAAGTAGGCTCCAGCATATGAATGCTATGCCACAATGTAAGACAAAGTGAGCAAACTGTGATCAGTCCCAACCAGCATAGTTAATGAGATGACTGAATTTTCAAGCCAAAACAACTGAAGGGTCTCAAGTTGCTCAGCCTTCTTTAAAATGCCAAAAGGTGTTGTGTTGTTTCTCATCATTTTGTCCTCTACTACATAAAGGATGCAAAGATGCTTCTGGAGTTACATTCCATGTGACATGTTTATACTGAATGCATATAAATGCATGATTATGTTTCCATTTCTTGTGAGTAGATAAAACTGGTTTGCAGTACAGAACAAAAGGCATTTCTCAAAACAGGTAGGCTGTATAGGACCTGGATGGCTGTGTTTACCTTTAGATGGATATAGCAATCTTTAAGCTCTGACTGCCTGACCAGGGGTCCTTCCACAGGTCCGAACTGTGTGCGCTTGGGAATGCGTCGTTTGGAGAACACTCCTCCCAGGAATCGGTCTATGTAAAGCACTAAGGGGAGACTGGCTCTTGCTCTTGTCAGCACTGGCCGGTTTGGGATTGGATGCAAGGGTCCATGTTTTGGACAAACCGACGGATGTGCATTATTGCACTCTTCACACCCTGAAAGACAGAGATACAAAGGACAAAAATACATGATGTAACCTCACATTCACACACGTCAAGACTAACAGAATGTACCAAGTCAAAACCAAACATCTGCAATGTCCCACACACAGGAAGTAGCTGCATGTTCTGTCTCCAAAAGCATGAAAGGGGGAGAAGGTAGGTAGTCAGACATTTGTTATTTCATTTTCCAGAAGCCCTGCCAATATGGCCAACACTCATCAATGCTGGAAGTTGGCCCCAAAGACATGATCTACTTTCTTCCCGCATCCATTATTTAAGTGTGTTGCCCCTTGCTGCAGCACATTACAATCTCTTTGACTATGAAAAATATGCCTTAGTTTAAATCCATCTAACCTGAAGACATTTGGATCAGTGAGACAGGAAAGGAAGATAGAAGCTGACTCTCTCCTTTCCACATCCGTTTCTGAGATATGTGGCAATTTACTTTTAATGGCACCATCTTTGCCCTAAAGAGCTCCCAATAGGGAAGCAATGGGGGCTGTGGGGGGCAGCCCAAGGTGTACTCAAGTCCCTTTGCATCTTTCCTTTGTCTTCTACTTCCCTCTGCCCTCAACAACCTCCTTGTGCAACACAAGGGAACAGCACAGATGGTTCTTGTAGCCCCTTAGGCCGACACTGGTAGCTTTGCGCTAAAGCCTGTGCAGTAGAACATCAGTGTGGATAACTGTGAGGAGCTGACTGAGCTTGTTCTTGACACAACTGGTGGCTCTGTGGCAGCAATTTCAACACTTCCTATTGGATTTTTATTCTCTGGCTCAAAGCACCGATGTATTCAAGCCAATTGTTTATCTGGTCCTAGAAGAGTACAAGTCCAATCAAGTGGTCTGCAATTCATACATTGCAGTAATTAGCCAGCAAAAGGTAAGAGTCTAAACCAAAAGTTAACAGCTTCCTTGTATGCTTACACAGGTCATTTGGGTCAAAGGGACGAGGTGGATCTGGGTCCCATTCTTCCATGTCTGAATCTTCCCCTTCTTCCTCTTCCTCCTCCTCCTCCTCTTCGTCCTCCTCCTCTTCCTCCTCCTCATCATCATTTTCCTCTTTTGCTTCCATGCCACCCATTGGGTTGTGCAAAGGTTCTAGAGGACCAGGATCTTCCACGGCCTCCATAGGAGGCAAAACCTGGCTGTGCACTGGTATTGTCACCTTAAAAAAAGATTAGAAACCGCATACTGTTATTCTGAGCAGCCAACCAGAAAAGAATGATACTGTCCTGGTAACCACCTCTTGCAAGGTACCTGATCATCTTCAGTAATCCCTTTGTTTTGATTCATAAGACTAGTGAGGTATGTGCACTGGATTAACTTTTATTAAAATGGGCATGTATATTATAAGCATATTCAAACTACCAAAAGGTAGGATTCACACAGATATTCCGAAGGGCACAGCAATTATAGGCAGCCTATCAATACATGTAAATAGATAAATAAATAAATAAAAACCCTGCCCCACAGTAGCATCTTTAGGTCCCTCCCCAGCTAAAGCTGTCAGATGTCAATTTGGCAATGCCACCTCAAAGCCTCCAAGGCCGCTGGAAAATATGGAGCTGCTGCATCTCCACTCCTGCTACACAGAAACAAAGGGAGCTGCTTAATACAGAGTCACACCTGTGTCCACCTAGCCCATGACTGTTAAGATCTGCTTGCACTGGCTCTCCAGGGTTCCAGGCAGGAGTTTCCTATCCCTAGCTGAGATTCTGGGCTTCAGATCAGGTATATGCTCCATGTTAAGCATGGGTTTTACCACTGGCAGGGGTGGTGATAGCTACCCAAAAGAGCCAGAGCTCAGGGATACGGAACAAAACATTGGACAAATTTGCAAACCTTAAAATACATTTATTCTAAAGACACTCTGAGTGTGCACACGTGCGTCTGTCTGTCTGTCTGTCTGTCTGTCTGTCTAAAGGAGCCTGTTTCCTAAAGACACTCCTATCTGAAAAAAGGGATGTAAGGACAAGGCAGAGGGGGCATTTGGTTTCAGAAAAACCTCAGGCGGAGAGATTGAAGATGGGGAAACAAGAGGTGAAGCACATATGGACAAAAGGCCAGCTAATCCAGGAGGATCAGATGCAACAGAGGTCATTAGGACCCCGCACCTTTATTTCAGCAATAAATAAAGCCGGGTGGCAGGACAAATTGCCTCCCCAAGATCTGGGCTCCAAATGAAACATTTAGGCTCCCACTGTAGTTGGCTGCTCACAAACACCCACTCTAACCTCTGAACTATCCTCTTTCACCTTGTTCCAACATCTTCCCTGGGACTGCAGTAGCTATAAGGAGACAGAGCTCCAGCTTTACTCCACAGCAAGCAGAACAAACAAGTGGAGAGGGGGGTAGAATCCTCTACTGTGGTTTGGAATGTTGAAAGGATTAGGCAGGATCTCTGGGTTGTGATCTAATCTGGCCAATGTTGTGTAACACAGCAACACTAGCACTTTTCCGGTCACGGGTGTGATCACATCTCATCTATTTCATTCTCCACACTTATTAAGTGCACAGGAAAGTCATCAGGAAGATGAGCTTTGCATGAGGAAAAAAGCCAGCAGGTAAAGTGGTGAGTAAGGTCTGGTGTCAAATTTGGCTCTGGGGCAGCTGAGATAAGTCCCTGTGTTCAGTGACCAGCCTTAGACAAGTTACCATCTATACTTGTTTTCCTAACTGTAAAGTGAGTGCATATTAGGTGCTTGTTTTCATAAAGCCACATATAACTTAGTCTCAATACTGTGAAAGTATTTAGCATGCTAATAATAAGGTGGTAACCAGCAAAAGGAGCACATTAAATCAGCAAACCTTTGAATCTTCAGAAAAGCCCTTGGCAAGCCAACATAGCCCTTTCCTTATTCTGTCTCAAAATGAAGCCACCCAGGGTCTCCATTTTCTACTTTAATTAGTTTGACATTAAAATGTGCCCTTAAAACGATCCTGCCTATAATTTTCTCACTCGATGAAAGCAAGAGAAAACAACAACCAATGCACTTAAAATACAGAGTTCAGTTAAGAAACCAGCTAATTAAAATCTAAAACCTTAATAACAAAAAAGCAACCTCATCACTGCTCAGGGGCAATGGGTGCTCTAATTGTAAGAAACACTATATTTTATTTTCTACAAAGAAAAGAGTTAAATGCCCACAGTGCATTGCAAAGCAGACAGAAGTCAGTATAATGTGTGGAGACACTGCCCTGAGAGAGCTTAAGGAACAAACTAGTCGCAAAAGATTATGATTTTTCAATGAAGGTACGGTCCTACGCATGTTTAGACAGAAAGGGCATTTGCTCAGCCAGGAGCTGTATGACTTTTTCCCATCTAAACATGCACCTTAAGAATTATAAGCAAAATCTCAAGGAAATATTTAAACAACACTGGAAACATCTAGGGCCATGTATACTCCACATTTTAAAGAAATATTGAACCCAAATGCTGTGCCAAAGACACTCAACCCATCTCTACAAAATATCCTACAATGAATAAATTACAGTTCTCCGCATTCCTCATCCAGCATGCATACCCTGGATATATCCAATTCAAATGAACCCAAATAGTACACACAGAATTAAACAGTTTTCAAGGCATGCTCAAAAACTGGCAAAATGGCAATTGGCAGGCCCCACTGGAAAAGAACTTCCACAAGTGTGAAGTCACCATGGGAAAGGCAAAGCAACATACCAGCATCTGCCAGTTTCATCTTCCTTAACGTTGGGCCAAAGAATGGAGTCTCTGATGCAGGTCCAAACCTTGCAGGTAGCTCATGTGAGTTACCTGCCCCCAGCATATATATGTGGCTAAGGGGGTGCAGTAGGCATTGGCTCATGTATCCCACTCTGCATGCAGCCTGCCTCCAGCCATTATGTTGCACCTAGCCCTAGCGGATGACCTTCAGTGATGCTTCTCTATTTTAAATAACCCACAAAACAGAAGAAATGGGAATCTATATATTCACATTGCAATGAAAGGTGAAGCACAGAACTCTAATTCAAGAGGGAAAGCATGCCTGGCAATCTACCCTGTCTGTTTATGGGCCCTGCTCCAGAGCCATGTGCTGTGGGGTTTCAGCAACATTGCGGAAGACAGAGAGGCTTGTGGAATTCCTCGCTCTGAGCCACAGCAAAAACAGTAGAAGAGTGCGTGATTGAAAATCAGAGCACTCATGTTAGTGCCGTGGTACTTTTATTAGCCAGATTTCTTTGTCTAGAGCAAGCTCCACAAGCTAGATCTTTCACGAATGTACAATGCAGCTCAAGCAGGTATCAGGAATGAGGTATCAGGTAGGAATGAGTATCCATCATTTTTAAACAGTGGCAAAACACCTGAAGACACCAAAGCTATAGCGCCCTTCCTGTTTATTTTTCTCTGTATAAAATGTGCTGCAGCTCCGGCCATGAAGCCCTCACCTCAGGTGGCACATGCCTGTGTGTCATGCTGCCTGCTCTGTCCCATCTACTGCCCCAGTTCACTTGCCACCTTTAGGTGCAGTGGAAGACGCTGGCTCATGGTTCAGTCCTGAAGACATCTGCCAATCCAGCCACCTTCTGTACGTGAAACAGGAGGGGACCAGACTGAGCCAGCCATTCTATTGCAGCTGCCGGTGCACTATTTTAAATTTGTGAGGACACCTGTGAATTGCATCCCTCGCAAGAGAGTTTGCCAAAGAGGACATTTTGGGAAGGTGGAGCGGATGATCAAAGCCCCGGTGCTTTACCATCCCTACAATGGCCTGTTGCCAAATCCCATACACCACAAATTTTACTTTTTTATACTTTTCACTCTGCACTGATAAACTGGGAGGCATGGCAGACCCTTCCGAATGCCAGACTTGGAAAAGGAACCTCCGGTTGCTGATGCCCACCCTGGAGGAAACTGCAGGTCAGACGAACTCCCCTAAACGCTCAATAAGTATTCCTGCCAGGGATACATTTAATATTTCATATGGCAAGCCTCTACTGTTTTATATTGCTATTCTTCTTGTCTTCAACATTTTCAGCCTAAAGCCACTTCTCTAAAACGCTTTAAAGAATAATTTTAGCATGGCCAAGAAAAAGCCAATGGAGCAGAAATGATTTTCCCTGCTACCAGGCACACACCCGCAAGGCAACATTAACAAATTTGCATGCCTGCTGGCAGAGAGTAGTTCACACAAAACTTGCCACTGCAGCGTATCAGAAGGGCACTTCCTGCATGTAAGAGAAAACAGTGCATTCATGTTTACGTAAGTTGGGAGGAATGATGAGATAAGTAAGGTTTTGGAAGACCTGATTCAGTAGGTCTTTCCAAAAACAGCAGGAACCATGATTAATATTTTAGCAGCTTTTGTAGTTCAGGAATTTCACACAAAAAGAGGGTATGTGTAACACCTGCAGGGCCAGCAGCTGCTCTAATAAAATGATAACCATTCACAAACAGGAAATCTTTCCCTGGGAATCTTGGTTTGTCAGCCCAGTTTTGCCATCTAGGCTGGACCTTTGGAAAGGTGGCTGAGGATACAGTGACAACGCATGCTGGCACCAACATGTTCCTCTTATTATCATCAGGCTGCGTAAGGCATCATGCATGCAACTGCTTTAAATGTGCATTATTTGTGCCATATTCAAGGGGATGTGGATTTTAGGTTAAAGTACCTCTTTACTGTTATATCACCTGAAATAATGCAGACAAAATGGGAATGAATGAGAGCATGATTTATTTGTCCTAGCCTAAAGAAAATGGACTGATGGAAAGACTGCCAATAGTTCATATGCATTTTTGTTTTGAAAACATCCATAATAATGTTTCAACTATTGTTCAGTAGTTTCAATGCTTCTGTGCCTTTTTTATTTCTGCTCAAGTAAGATACATCTGTTCAACTAACATGTTTTCTTGGTTGTTTGGTTTTCCATAATGCATGTGATAGATTATTCATTGTCTGTATTCAGTCTGTTAATGTGAGTATATACACATATTTATCAACTTGCTCGTCTACTCAGAAGTACAAGACACTGAGTTGCATCCAGGATCTGTCATCAGTGGACAGAAGAGCTTCTCTCATGGAAGGTACAGTAGTCCCCCAAAATTCGCAGGGGTCGCATTCCTAGAGCACCCGCAAATTGTAAAAAACTGCGAATTTTGGATGTGGTAAACGTTCATTGCCCAAAGCCTTAGAAGGTGCAGGGCGTTTGGGCAGCATCCTAGGGCTTCAAGAAGAACGAAACGGAGAACACTCAGCGAACAGCAGAGATACGTCACAGGGCAGCAGCCATTCAGTGGTTTGTGCGAAATTGCGGGGGTTTCTGCGAACAATGTAGTTCGGTTCCAAGGAAAATTCTGCGAAAGTCTGAGGCCGCAAACGCTGAACCGCAACTTCACGGGGGTACACTTTACCTCTGTGAGAGTCTCCAGGATTGCATTACGATAGTTCTCCCCATTGCCATAGTTCACCCTATTAAGCAATGTTCCTCAACCCTCTCTGTAGCTTTCAAGGGACTGAAGGGGCCACCATGGGAAGGAAGGGGGAAGGAGGGGGTGAAGGAGTTCTCTTCTGCCAGTCCAGCCGCACACACCTAAGCCTGGATCAAACCCAATCTCGTCAGTGGGACTTATCCCCAGGCTACTATGGGATTGCAGCCTTTGCTTTTCTTTCAGTTATATTTACAATGGCATTTCACATGTCTAATCGTATATAAGCCCCACTGAGCTGAAAGGGATTTCCCCCCAGATAAATGCACAAAAGATTGCAGCCGTAGTCTCTTGTACAAAGTCTTTCTGCTGTTATCATCTTTCCTTTCTCTCTGACAACGCTTTTCAAACATTCTTTAGCCAAATTTAGAAACATTAATGTTTTCTGTCCTCCTAGATTTCTTTTTCCACCTAAAACATTAATACCACCTTACCCCGAATTAGATTTAGTTTTGATGACTTAGCTAGAATTGGACAGCCTTTCTCCCTACACTCTTTTATCATAGCCTTTCTCTTTGCTCCTAATTTTAAGGTATCTGAACAATTTTCTTATGCGTTGATGACTGTTCCTCAATTCCTTCCACATCATTTTAACTTTCTCTTTAGACAGTGCTGCTTTCTGCTTCTTTGTACTATATATACCTTCTAAAGTGTGATCGGTGTTTATTCCCTTTTTGGCAATACAGTGTCAAACTCTTCACTAGGTTATATTAGAAATTCTGGCTAGAAACCATTTTAGAAACTGAAAGAATCACACATTCCCTCCACACAAACCTAGGAGAGGTTCCAGATTCTTGAAAGCAGCTTTTCTGGGGCTAGAGAGGGGCACAGTTGATGGGGGGAACTCAACACTCCACCTGTGCTAGTTGATACTCAGAAGGGATGCACAAAGGATAGTCACTTTTCTTCCCTAGGAAATTGTTGGGTTCCGTGCAGGTAATACATCTGCCAACTCTGTTGCTTTTCAGGCAAAAGAGCTGATTTACTGAAGACATATTTATTAAATCTTAGTTCCTGAACAAATGAACCAGATTTGGAACACAGACTGGATCAATAACATTTACCAAATGGGTCTTTTGCTTCCTGTAAGGTCAGTAATTTGATTTACTGGGAAGGAGGCAGAACCAGAAAGTACAGCAGGTGAACAGGGAAAAGATGCAACATCATCCATTCTTCTTTTGGCTAGTGCTCCCACTTTTCCAGTTTTGGACAAACAGCTTAGCTACACAGTATACTTACCATGTGAAAGCAGTCAAGTTCTGACTTTTGAGAATTTGGAAGGCTTCCTCCCAACATATGGCAGTCAAGGAAATCTGAAGATGACTCGGTGGGAGTCACACTAAAAAGGAAAGAGACACTCCATTTATCTCATTCAGCTAATCCCTCTACCAGTTGGGGAGCAGGGGAGATTAGATGAGAGAGATTAGCAATTATCATAAGAGTCCATTAGGCTTCTCTTTCTCTTAGTATGACTGCAAGCCAAGCCCTCCTGCCTCCTTTGAATGTCGGGAGGAAGTCTTCAGTCTCAAAACTGTCCGAATCTGAATGCTTTATTCAGGGACCTGGTTCGCACATAACACTACCCTGTGGCTTATTTAGCTCATGTATGGTTTGATACATGTATGATTTAGCTCATGTACAGACAGTTGAATGAACTATGGGTTGATTATTTCCCTCTTCCTTTGCCGACTCTGTCCCCATAACCAAATGAATTTTTGCCTTGCATTACTGCCATGAAGAGCAGCTTGGTTGGTTTTTGTTTGTTTACCACTCTTGCCTGCTGTCTCTGTAGTTTGGCAAAACAACCCAAAACAGCCCAGATTGTTACGAACTCAACGACAAACCATGGGATCTATTTTTGGGTTCTGTGTGGTTAACACACCATGTGCCATTTGCACAACCCATGGGTGAAATAACCCAGGCCACAGAGTGCACGTAGGATCTAAAGAACCAAACCATTAATTCATGAAGTCTTGTGCAAAAATTGTTAGTGTCTTCCAACGTGTGCTGGCTTAAATATCGATTGTTCTAGCAGTTTTTAGAATATCAAAGTGAAATTTATTACCTCATTTTATAATCCACTAACAGAGCTATGAAATGGTTTGCACTTACTACTTCCACACAATTGTCTTTTATATAGTGGTTTAAAACTAAAAAAGGATCACAAGCTTGCCACCTTAAATCATTCGGTTTCCAATGGCAAAGGAGATTAAATTAGAAGCTAGCACTTCTCAAAGAAATGCATCCTCACCTCTTCGCATCCTCCAATCCTCACATCCCCTAGCCCTCAATTTCATGCTATTCCTAGTCAATTTCACACTAGTGAGCACATCACGCAGAAAACCAGGACTATATACCTCAGACACATCAGCAAGTAATTGGAATTTTTAGCCTTTACAGTTGTATCTCAAATACAAACGTGAAAAAAGTTCTGACAGTATAAAAGAGGAAATGAAGTTATCTCCTAAACTGTGTGGGAGTATGAATAAAATGATCAAATGGGTTTCATTTTGCCATTTAAATGAAAGACATTGTCCTATATTTCAGAAGAGCAGGCCTGGGTTAGACAATCTTCCTAACATTCCTAATGCTAAGGGACTTGTCACTGATGTGCTAGTTGGCCTTTTAACTGGCCAGAATAAGAGCATTTACTCAATTTTGCATTGTCCGTGACTGTATGGCTAAGGCTGGAGATAGATGAGGTTTTTTTCAAGAAGACAAAGGAGGTGTGATGAAAACATCAATGCCTTAAACGTACACCATCACTGGTATATTTTTTCTTGTTCCACTATCATCTCTGGTCAAACATGGCAAGATGGGTCCTTTCAGAGAGATAAAGTTGGTGGGTATAAGGGACAGGACCTTATCAGCAATGGTGCCAACACTGTGGAACTCCCTTCCAATGTGCTTATGCCTAGCCTTCCTTAGTGCTTATGGTTAGATAGGCCCTAAAAACCTTCTGTTTCAATACATATAGACTGCATGACCACAGCAGATTTTAAGAGCTGTGCACATTTCTGTTTTATATTTTGCTTTTGGAGTACCTCTTACACTGAGATTTGAGGAATGACTCCTTTATTGTTGGTACTAGCAATAAAACCTTTTAGAACATTATTCCTATTGGATGGGAGAGATTATTTTGTGACTATTATGTTGTTAAATTTGTTAAGTTAGCTGTAGGGAAGAGTAAGCATTTTATTTTTCCCAATATGTCATTTACTGTTTCACTGATCTATTTTAATTGATTGTTAACTTTAATATATAATCTAGGCATCAGTGGTCAGCCAAATGTTCTTTTATTCTATTAGTATGTTAATCTGAGTTTTTTGTTTGTTGACATTTTATATATCTTGTTTTGTTTTGAGTTTGATGTAGCCTCACTGGCTATTGTGCAATCAACTGACTACTTTATATATACTATTTCTATTGACCCGCTCCTTTTGTGTGTAGCTTTTGAAGGTGCAGCCCCTAAAAGCAGCTAAAATGTTTTCAAATAAACAAATAAACTGGGTTTGTACATCATGATCATCAATGGCTTTGAAGAAAGAAAGGAAGAAAAAAGATCATCTCAGGAACAACTGGAATAATGAGGGTGAGATACAAAGTACAGCAGTGAAACCTGCCTCTAGGAAAAGAAAATCTCCACAGATCTGCCCAAGATTAACAAAAATAGCTGGGCTTACCTGCTGTGTAGCTGCATCCTGCTGAACATAAGCCACTTGGGATGGGTCTGTAAACAGAGTCTGCACAAAATAATAAAGCACAATTAAAAGGATCACATTTCTGTTTGGCTGACCTGAGGCCCAACTTTTCTATCAGAGAAGTGGCATTGGATAAACAACCCATTTCTTTTCATTTTTGCAATACCAATGGCATTGGCTACAACAATAAACTCTTTCCAATATTCTATCTATTTATTCAGGCATTCAAAATCCAACTTGCTTTATCATTCTCATGGACCCACATCAGGTAGCCTACCCCAATGCCCCACCCTGGCATTTCTGCATCTTTTTCAATGTCTGCAGAAGGAAGGACAAACATTTGTGCCATGTGCAATGACAGAGGTGGCGGCTATGTCACCTGTGCAACATCACCAGTAGGGCTATACAGTATGGCCTCTTTTCCCACTCATGTGATGTGAATCCTTCAAGAGGACGTACATGATATGGAAATGTACTCTCCTGGTCCTGATCAATATGCCAACAATCCTCTTCAACAGTGTGAGATGGTAATTCTACACTGACACAGCAGCTTTCATTTAGAAAGCATTATAGAGCTTCTGGGGCTTGGCTGATTGTTGGCATTTCTTATGGACTGATGGATAGAATGAAGGAGGTAATAGCAAGTAGCAAGATCCTGTACGTCCATTCAGGTCAAGTGGAAAGAACAAAGAAAACCTTACAAAAAGGCACAGTAATTAGCCCAAATGGAATTAGTTGGGATCAGGAAAAGTGAGACACAGGAGCTGAAAGAGTGAGAATGATGGCCCTAAGTTATTCTGTAGAGCATGAACTGGGGTTTGAAAAATTAGTAGGCTGGTGTTACCAGAGTCTAAATGGTTTGTCTAGGACTATGGTTTTCAGACATTGTTTCTGGGTTTCCTTAGAAGCTTATTAGAGGGTCCTCAATTAGAAAATCAGTGATGACTAATAAGGCAGCTAACTACTACTGTTCTTCTTGGGTTCCTTGCCAAACTAATCAGTGTGGGAAATAATCCAAAAAGTTAGAATATTTGAAAACCACTTTCCTAAAGCAATACATCTGATACATTAAAAGACTATATTCTAACATATTGTTAGAAACATACAAGTTTCAAGAATCCAATGATTATTATTAGCTACCAGAAGCTCGCTACACAAATAATGATGTAAGAAAGGATGAAGAATCCTATTATTTTCTAGAATACAGATGACTTGACACTCTACACCAATTCTGATGCTGTTTTTTGAAGGAAAAAATAGGCTTAATTTTTTCAGTTTCAGATGGACAAGATGGATTGGGCTTCGTACTCAACAGCCTACCCGCAGCTTTTGATTACAACATCTGCACTCTCATTTAGAATTAACAGTCCGAACTCCCCCTTCACCAATGGTTAGATGATTATGCACAGCTGAGAGCTATTAGGCATTCACATGGCTTGGTAGGCAGCTGGCCCTGGTCCTGAATGAAATTAATTCTCTTTGCAGCCATGAGTAGGCAAAAATAGTGCTGTGAGATGACACATGCCTGAGTGGCTTCTACAGGATGGATGTAAACCAGTGTATGTTCCGATGAATCGACTGAGGTGTAAGATGTGCCATCAGCGGTATAGACCACCTGTTGCGAAGGGCGGTCCTGATCATCACTGTACACAATCTGAGCCACAGTTCCACCTTCAGGGACAAAGTGGACCTGGAGGGGTAGAGAATAAACATAAAGAAGTCTCTGTGTAAGAATGCATGGAACACCATTTTCAAAAGTATATCCACAATGGTCTAATCTATGCAGAAATGGCATAGAAATAATAAAGCACATTCAAATACAAATGCTAAACCCAAAATACTATACTTTCATATAAAATGGGACATTGGAAATAAATCACTAACAGTCCAATTCAAAACCCACTTAAAGTGCAGTATTTGAATAGAAATCAATTTTTCCCATGTGTGAAATTACAGCTAAGTTCTTGCTTTCTTAAAAAAAACCCTGTGTGCCTCTTTTTCCAGCTTCATGTTGCACAAAGCTCTAGCTGCTGACATAAAAGTGCAGTGATGGGGGAACTGTGCCAATACAATGCCTATGTTGTTATGCAGCTGTTAAAAGTACAAGGCTTCTAAGAGGGGAGGGGGAAGCAGCAACTCTAATATTGGACCAAATCAGATTAGATCCTACGTGTCCATCTTAAATGGCTTTTTATAGTGCCAATTAAGCTGGTTTGCCTGCTGATAATGTATTTATTAACTTCTTCTGTGTAAGCACCTCTGACATGGTAGACTTGGTTTACTTCTGCTTTCTGACTGTGATCTGGAAGACATGAGTTAACATTAAGAGAAAATATGTGAAGTACCCCTTGGTCTAATTTAACTCAGGTTCCCTCATGTCAGATCTAGAAAGCAAGTAACTGGGAATTGGGAGTCAGGACCTAACGGTGGATGATTATTTAGATAGCAGGTGTGGAAAACATGACAAATTATGCCAAAGCTCAAGCAGGCCTTTCTTTTTTGCATATCTACAATCTTAGGGAAACTTAAGATTCAGGTAAATGTTTATATCATGCAAAAATCCAACAGCAAAGTTCTTATATTTCCAGTGATATTCCCCCACATAAAATCCTTCTCTAAAAAGCATGTTAAGCTATTGAGAAGAAGCCATAGTCGTACATGGGTCCAGGAAAATGAACAATAAAATCATGTAGCCACTAGTCACCTGAGCAGCATTCTGTTCCTGCTCAGCTGATTCAGACCAAACCTGTGCAGTTTCTTCTTTCAAGTTCACATCATCACTGCTGTGGGGCTCCATGAAGTGATAACAAATTATTCAAATTGAGCTTTTCTGAATAATTTCATCTGTCTGTTATGTCTTGAGATGATGTAATCTTCTGTACCATGGCTATAGAAAAAATGGAAGAAGATGGTGTCAATGAACTGAATACATTCCAGTAGTCTTGAAATCTGGTACAAAGGAATCCATGAAGCTTCCTTATTCAACATGTGGCAAAATCAGTACAAATAAAAATGCAACCCATACAGTTTCCCAGTGCAGGCCTGAGGGCCGAATCCAGCCTCTAAAATTCTCCATGAGGCTCCACCATTGTTTCCTGTCTCCAGGGGTCCTGGCCCTAGCCCATTTCCTCAAATCACCAATAATATAATGATTTCCATCTTAGAAAGGGTACATAAAAGCATCAGACATGCCCACTAGAGACAAGTGACTCCTGATTTCACATGTTGGAAGCCTATTTCATTTCTAAACTGCTGGATTCAGAATGCAATATATATTTAGGAGGATACAAAATGTTTTAGAGCTGTCACAGCCAAAATAGATACAAAATTATTCCACTTTTCACAGTATATCCCTTGAAAATACGTCTTTTTGGCCCATCGGTTTTCTTCCCCAAGTCAAAGTTAATTTCCAGTGAATGCAAAGATTTTCATTGAAATTCAAGACACACTTGCTATTATGCTGTCCAGGAGGGGGCGCTCCATGCAGTAAAGTCTGCAGCTCACAGGTTAGCAGGAAGCAACTGGTAGGCTTGTAATAAGCACTTTTGTGCTACTGCATTGAGCAAATTATTCCAATATAACCAAACTTACCCTATTTTAAAAGACAGAGCTGAATGTATGCAGCATTTCACACCCATGGTCGATTTTTGGAAGATGTGTAGATTACCCATTCCAAAATAACTTTCCCATGCATTGATTCATTAGATGCCTTTTAAAGGACATCACATAAGCAAGAATTGTTGCATCCACACTGGCCCTGAATGACACCCCTCCACACACACACAAAGGAGCCCTCAGTTCCTAATTGACTTGTTTTAATTTTCTATTTCATCATTTAACCAGTTCTGCTTATCAAGGGCTCATCTTCCTGACCCTGCATGTGCAGTCCCTCCTGGCATCTGAAATGCTGAGAAAGACAGAGATTAAAAATGAAGCTTAAATTCCAATTTACGTAGGCTCAGGAATCTTGACAAATTGGTTCCATGTACAGCTTTATCTACCCCTTGTGATTTTAACCAAGCGTCTCAATCTGCCAGTGGGAATTCTCAGAAGGGTAATTTACAGCTCTACTGATTGGTTCAGGCAGTCATTCAGCACCTTTCCAGTCCTCCGTCTCCAGTGTCATTATTAAATCACCGACTTAGGAATTAGTGCAAGGCCGAGGCCATTTGATTTTCAGCAAGTCCAATTAACTTTATTTTATACTGACTGGCTGGCTGAGCTGATCTAATAGTTAGCAACCCTTGCCAATGAACAAGAAAGAAAGCAAAAGGCTCCTCACTGACTCCTCCATCTATTTGAATTTTAAATGCAAATTATTTTTAGACATAATTTATGCCTACATAATAGCATTTGGCTTGTAATTAAAGGGGGAGGGGAAAAACAAGGAATGTGTCTGTTATTCATCATGCCAGCATTTCAATAGTCCTGCAGACTCCAAGTTGGTACATTTTTTCAACAGGATTTTCACAGAAGACTCAAATCAATAATGCAGGAAAGACAAACAATAATGCCCCTCAGAGGAACAGTAGAAAAATCAACACTGCATCAGTGTCTGAAAACAACACAATGCTGATTTCTTTACATTATTTGGTTGTATATAATGTTATGATGCCAGAAGCTGTTTTCGTCTCAATATCCAGGGGTTAGGAATAGATTCTAGTCTGCCAAACAGTAAAGGACACTGCACAGGTAGGGTACTCTGCTATGAAGTTCACACGCTGGTAAATAAGAGACATCTGCTTTGGTTTATGGCATTAGAGCACTGTGGACATGGAATTATGGACACTCCCTTGAAATAGGGCAGATCTAGCAGAAGCATGTCATGTAAACCCGAGGATACCAATTTCAACATGCCAAGGCGTTATTACAAGTAAGGAAAAACATTGGAAGCAAAACCAAGGATACTGATCTCAATATGCCAAGAAATGGTCACTGGGGTCCAGAGGACCATGTAAGGTGTGCCCAAGAGTATCCGTCCGGTATTTTTACTTTTATTCCTGACCAAAGTCTCTTGTATCATATGACAGACTGCTTTTGAATATCTGCATTTCAAAAAAACATTTTCTGTCTGGAATGGAAAGCTGGAAAACAACACCTATCTGTAGATGCTACATTGTTGGAGGATCTTGGGGTAATATATACAAAAAAGCAAATGAGTGATGAAACAGCAACAGATTTAACACTGTCAAGATAAACATTTTTTTCTGTCTTTCCACTAAGACAACTGGAATTTAATGAATGCCGTAAGCCATTAGCTGAATGGAGTTCCACCCAACTCAGTACTTATGTTAGGAATACTATTTTAGGGGGATCTATAAAACTCTAGTGGGCTAAACTGGGGACTCAGGCAACCTGGTTTAAGCCCTTTGTTTCTTGTGCAACAGAAGCAGCTTGCAATACATCAGCACAGAAGAAGCCGCCAGCCTGATCTACTGCATTGCAGCATCACTGGAAATGGCTGCAAGATGGTGCTACTTTTACCAGTCCTGAAAAGATCAAGTGACACAAGGAGCAACTGATCACTCAGACACAAACAGAGGTGCTTACTGAACCATCCATTCCCCTCCTGTTCCCCAGGGCACTAACTCTGATACTATCTGAGAGAAACATCATCAAAATATAAACCTTCCTACTGCCCCTCAGATCCTATCTGCACATAGTCAAAAGCCACATATGCATATTGCATGACATCAGGCACAGAAAAGAGAAGTAGGTTTCTGAAGAAACCTTTCACTTGCAAAAACAAACGCTCTTATGGCCTGGAATAAGTTTGGAGGTGAATGGAGTATGTCTGGGAACGTTTCAGAAACAAAGAAAAGGCGTGCAGAACTTCCATGGCTAAAAAGGAGGGCTGTGAGATACTGGCTTGGATCTAGACAGTGTCAGAGTGGAGTCACCAGAACCCATGCCACTTAAGTTCATAATCCATTGTTACTTAATGTCCCACTGGTTTCAATATGGTTTGGGTTACCTCAACATGGATCCTTTTTATGCACATACTACTTATTTTTCTTTTTTAAAATGCCAGTTATGTGCTAGTTCCATATATTTCATACATGAGTACCAGAAACTGGCTCTTTTGGGGTTGTTATAGGATTTCTGGGAAAATGGTGGAATATAGAAACAACAATTATTTCACAGACCAATGGTTTCAAAATGGTTTTCATTAACTGACATGGCCCTATATTGCAGCAGCGAAGTTAAGTCTACATAGAGCCTTAAAGCAGAGATTAGGAACGCAACTGTTTTGTAAGCAGCTAAAATGCTGTAACGCTGCCTTAAAATGCTTTATTTTCTCAGGTTTCTAAATGTTTTAGAATTCGCCCCTTCTGCCAGTCAGCACACACTGTAGAGAATTATCTGTTCTATCTCCACACTGTCCTTGTCGAGATCATTTGTGCTCCTTTCCCTTTTTATTTTCATACAGCAGGCAGGCACTTGACAGCTACCACTGCAAAACACGCAACATCAACAGCAGTATGTAGGTGACAGCTTGTGTTGTGTCAGAAGAAACGCATGCAGCCTTACTGCAATGTGAGGGCGATGCAATGGCATCAGCCAATCCCTTGCATATCTGCAGCATCCCTGAGGCAAGCATCGTACAGCAAGGTAGCAGCGTGGGTGTGATATGAGCGAGGGAATGTCAGCATGAAAAGATGCTCTGCCATTAGAAAGCCAGGCGAGCAGCAGGAGGATGCAAAAGCGTGTCATCATCCTGGAGTAGGAAAGTGAAGCAACGCTGACAGAAGGCAGTGAAAACAATATACTAGGCCATAAGAGAAAGCCCACACATTCCTTGCATGTCAAGAAAAATATGTTTTTAATTCAGTGTAATGCTTTCTTGGGAGCATGCTTCAGCATCTCCTTCTGTGGTTGATTATGTCTGTACCACACCCTTCCTCCAAACAAGTCACAGTAGTATTTTTGGCTTTACAGTATGATGTAAGTTAGGCTAAGATGCAGTGACTTCCCACAAGCCCAAGCTTCACGATGGAGGGAAATGTGGGTGGACCTATACCTGTTCCCCAGGTATAGGTGGACCTATACCTGTACTACCCTAATCCAATTCTAACTCTTGCTACTGCACTATGCTGAGTGAAAAATAACCCCATATTGCGCAGTTGCATGACACGCACACATAGCATTGGCACTTTATGTTGCCACTTAAGCTTGTTCAAATCCTTAAGGGTGCCATTCCATGCATATGTAGACACAAAAAGTCTTACAACTGCCAACATTCCAAAGGCAGCAACTCTCAGCCGAGGAATGCTGAGAGTTGCAGGACCTTTTTCTGTCTAAATATGCGTTGAATTACGCCCAAAGCCTTATGGCCTCTGACTTACACATCAGTGCAGTTCAGAAAGGAAACCAACGGCGGAGGTGTCCCCAACCAGGTGCATTCCAGAGGCTGACACAGGGGCTGAGAGTGTTGAAATCCCATCTCAGCCATGATCTCACTTAGGACGCCCAGTTTCGCATATACAAAAATGCTGCTCTCCCTTACAGGGTGGTCACTAAGGATTTTACGTGTATACCAAGTATACATATGAAGAGTTTGGAACACTTAGGGGAAATGCTCTAATATAATGATTATTAAACACAAAATGCTGTGACATGCGATCATGTGCTTTTTTCAGAATACCAGGGCTTCTTTCTTGAACTTACCCAGAGTTTATTTAAAAAATCATGATGGTTGATCTTTTAACCATTTTTTTAAGTGTTCCAGATGTTAGCAAAGAATTTCACTACGTGACCCTCTTCCATTCATTCTTTCCCCCTTCTCTTTCTGAATTGTGCCAGAAGGTCAGCTTTCTTCTTTTGATGTTTTCCCATCTTCTGTTTTCACACTGTATCTGTGACATAGATGTATTTTTAACTAGATCC